GTAATCGATGAGTAGCTGAATACCTCATTGGTAAAGTCTAAGGCTGTGAGGCTGAGTGACTCAGGATTAATATAAACAGAAGGTATCACTTCCCTCAACATTTCATCTTTGCTCTATCGACGACTGCCAACTAATGAGAAACTTGGGTCTAGGGTTTCTGTCGATTACTTTTAATCACCTAACATCTAAATATAGAGCATGCAGTGTCGAGCCACTCAAATTAGTTCCCACACTGCTACTTGATCGATAGAGTTCGACCAGCACTAAAGGACCAGGAAATGTGTTACTTACCACTACCCAGTGACTATTCAACTAGCCGTTAAATAATCGTCAAAAACTCGAATCTTTGAATACAGATTTGTCATCACTGTACACAAAAATACGATTCCATGTAAAAACAAAATACAACACAATCATAATATCTAGTATTATTTGATTTATTCAAATTACATTATCACACATAAGATTTTCAACCGATGACATCGACTAGTGGTCATCTTATCTATCTGACTTGGTTGAACTATACACCATTCAATCACCTCTTCCAGCTAGAACTTGTTGTAATTTATCTTACTTAAATCTGTACCAGTGAGTATATATGACAATTTTTATTGATTGAGATAGTTTGTGAGTTATTGAATTTCAACATAATAATCTACTGTTATCGTGATTTCCATGAAACTTCTAAATTTTAAGTTTCACTATCCACTGTGATGAATATGATGCATTGTAATAAGTCGATAAACATCTAAAACAATCTTTATAGATTCACTTGGTATTGTTTGTTTAAATCTTCCCATTGATATTTAGGACTGCAACTGGTCAGTCTCCTAAACATCAATTAGAGGATTCAAACAAACAATACTAAGTGAATTTAAACTTCACCCCGTTGCACAAGCAAGTGGCTATCAGGACTCAGTAGCTGAGTGAACAACGTGATGGCTTTTGAAGCGAACAGTACTGGGTTCAAGTTCCAGAGTGAACATCAACTCTGAGATTGTTTTATCCCGATAATAATAGTGAAGGGTAACTTTGGGTTCCATTTATGGACCAATATTATGCATATAATTTTTATCGTATATTTGCCAAATAATTAAACTACTCGTATTCATGTTCCTTTAATTCTGAGCTCTATTTTGACCCTTGGACTATTATTGTACGATTTACCATTCCCGAGTTATACCCAGTCTATTAATTACTGCTCCCCCTATTCACAGCCACATTTGGCTAACTTGTGTATGAATGTTATTTTCCATTTTATTGGTACGATGTGGTCAGTCTGTTTGGTATATAAACTCAGTATGTCTGAAATACAATGATTCATACCATAGAGGCTGTTACTGGTGTTTTGAACTTAACTGGCTGGGCTAGGCAGATGCAGGACCGGTTACCACTCTAGACTGCTTGTACGATTTTCGTGTGTCACTGTTCCAATCGATAATTCGCTGCTCTCTGATTGACGGTCTTATCAAGTCACACATTAACTAGGCATCCACTCGGCCACAAGATATAACAGAGATGCAGGTATATCCATCTGACAAGTCTCAAATGGAACGAAACACGCATCAAACTACATTCCATTGCTAGCCACTATCCATCTTTGTTTACAATCTCTATAGAGTTCTTTCATTTTATATTGTCAATTACGTAATCATCTTAATGTTAAATATTTTTGACATTTAATATATATACTTACATATACTGAATCTATTTCATTTTAATCAATAATAGTATAGTATAGTAATCATGTACTTGAAAAGAAAAATGCATTAGAAATACATTGCCTTTCTTTTTGTACAAATCATGTACTTTTATGCACTATCTTTCAAAGGAATATATGCACCATAGATTTTTCAATAATTCTTCTATTAATGTCAATCTGGAATGAAATTTATTTATATAGATTAATTCATTATTATTGTTACTAAGCTTAGATTACAGAATTAAAATGTACTTTCGTAATGGTTAGACTACAAGTAATATCAATGTTTTTTCTTACCGGCTTGTTGTGTACTAATATTGATTATTTTTGTATAATGAAATGTGCAGAGAAAAGAAAATGGGTGAAAAATAGGGTTGGGTTGAAATAAACTTGGATGATATATGATATTATGGGAAATTGATTTGAGCGTCATAAGTAGTATGTCCATTAAATTTACGAGATGAAGTTATAGAAATTTAATTCTTTAAAGTAGGGGGTAAATCAGTATTATCTTTCTACAAAATAATTCTTGTCTATTGTGAAAGAGTTGATTTAGTATTTAGTATTTTTGATAGTTGGTATTTTGATAGTTGAAAGCGTGAGTCAGTTGAAGCTAGATCACCATGGAAAACCTGGAAGCACTGGATGGCCGTTTCGTCCTATTATGGGACTCCTCAGCAGTGTACATCCATGGTGGTCTAGCTTCAATTGACTAACGCTTTCAACTATCAAAATACTAAATCTCCACAAAACTCTTTCTAATAATTAATATTGTGAAATACTTGTTCATTTGTTATTCCCGGTATTTTAAAACATTCTTTAATGTCCAGAGAATTCAGGTTTTTCAACTGTCTTGTTGTTATTCTATGTTTTGTTAGGATGACATACACAAATGTCTTTATCAGAAGTGGGTTTTGTGGAGATTTTAGTAATTTTTTTATATAGTTGAAATCATTAGTCAATTGAAGGAGTCTCACAATAGGATGAAACGGCCGTCCAGTGCTTCCAGGTTTTCCATGGTGGTCTGGCTTCAATTGACTCATAATTTCAACAAATATCTTTTTCAAATTAAGGTCAACTCAATAGCTCATGGTTCAATATCTAGTGGTTTACAGCAGTTCCCTAGCCATTGTTAGTGTTTATGTTGACAACTAGCTTCGAAGTGAGGAGCTACCACGAATACAAAATTATAATCGTATAATCAGTACTCAATACTTAAATTATTTGAATAAATGTAGTTTTTATGAAAACTTCTTGTCAAGAACAACTGTTTTTTTCTAGTTAGAACCCTTGTAATTAGTGTTTATCCACTAGTTCTATATAGATTTCATAATGAACGTGACATTATTCAACCACTTATTTTGAAACCCATTGCATCATATTTTCAAACTCCAGTTATTTGATGATAAAAAGTAGCTGAATATCCAATTCTCAATTTGTTAGACTTCACAAATCTCCATGGCTTCTCATTGAAATTACTGAAATTTTTACCTCGAAACCAGTTAATAACGAATATTCCCCATTTAAGTTTGATATTATAAGCTTATTAGTTTTAACACGAACAGTTATATCAACGTTTTAAAGTTTCTATTGATAATGAATCTCAAAATGTCAGTGAATCCCTCAATTATTTCAAAGAAATCTTCTGTTTTTTTCTATTTTAACTGACTAACCGTTTACTTAAATCAACCAATATACTCACTCAAATGATCTGATAATAATCATACAACCTATAATTATTGCTAAATTCAAACGAAATCATTTTAAGTTGTTGTTATATTTTTATTCCCATATATTCTTTTGCTGAAATGATAGATGTATCCGAATTCGTTCATCAAATTATCTTGAGAGTCTAACCGGTCAAAAAAATTCGTTAATGAAGACGAATGACAGCCAACTACCGTTTAAAAATTCTATGCACTTATAAGCAAAGATGGATAGTGGCTAGCAGTGGAATCAAGTTTGACGCGCGTTTCGTCCTATTCGGTACTCGTCAGCCGGATGTGGCTACCAGGACTCAGTAGCTGAATGGATAACGCGATGGCATTTGAAAGGAACAGTACTGGGTTCGAGTCCCACAGTGACCATCAACTCTGAGGAGTCCCAAATAGGATGGAACGCGTGTCAAACTGGATTCCACTGCTTGCCACTATCCATCTTTGCTTATAATGCTTGTGAATTAAGGCTATATTTAGGCAATACACACAGTATGCACATATGCTAATTCGAGACTGACTAGTTGTAGTCCTAAACATCAATGGGAAATTTCAAACAAACAATACCAAGTGAATTCATTCACTTATATTTTGAATTTTATCATGTTTTTTGGGTAATAAGTAGGAATTTACTGGAATATTTATGCAGTGAATTCTTTTCTGTAGTAAAACATAAGTTATTGAAATAAAAGATTATTTTTATTAGTTGCTGATATTAAACTTCTTCGTTGGATATCCCCGAACGTAGAAAAATTAGATTTGGTTGGATATTACAACTTTAACTTCCTTTTTTTTGAGAGAGTTTTGTTCTCTGAGCTGGATGATTTGATCCAGTTCAGCTACAAATCTTTTTCACCATCTTACATCCCATTTTCCAATTTCTGTCGACAGGGTATTACCTTAATACCATTTAAAAGTGAATTAAAATTACATCTCAACTACTTTCAAGTTGTAGCACTTTCATTAGTTCGATATCTATTACATGTTTCAAAAGGTCAATATAATGCACAAATGAACTATAGTTTGGTCAGAAGGGGTTTTGTGGCGATTTAGTATTTTCATAGTTGAAATCATAAGTCAATTGAAGCTAGACCACTAAGGAAAACCGGGAAGCACTGGATGGCCATTTCGTCCTATTATGGAACTCCTCAGAAGTGTTCATCCACGATCTCGCTTCACGAGATTCGAACCCAGGATCTATCAGTCTCGCACCAGAGCACTAAACCGTTTAACTGATGCTTTGAACCATAGTTTATCTTTTTTTTATTGATCGCTTTTTAACCATTGGTTGTGTAACTACTTTTCCACTATATTGAATAGTGTTTACCGTCTGACATATGGAAAGTTTTATCAGCCTAGTAAACAAACTTTATTATATGTCTATAGGCAAAGAAAAGAGAACAGACAGGTTATTGAGATTAACTCAAGTAGTCGTAGTAACAGTAGTAGTGGTAATAGTAGTCATAATAGTGGTGTTCAGCCATTTCTTTTCCAAAGTGAACTTTTAATAGTAAGGAAAAATCCAAAAAAATTTCTTCATCAGTTTAATCCATCAGAACGAACTAAATTTTCTTTCATTTTAGCAACAAAAACAAGAATACAACATAATTGTGAAGGGTAAACACATCAGAACAAGAGTGAAATTTGTCTGTCCAACTACTATAACCCCCTCCATTCCATTTTTGACGAAATACAAACACACTAACAATTGTTAATTACTTTGTGTGTGTGTTCTTCCGTGTGACCTTCAAGTGGTAACCAATCAAATCTCTGACCTTTGGTTAAGTGGTAGACGAAATTTTCTAATTGTTGATTATTCAAACCTCAAAACCAATAGTATTATTTATTGTATACATTGAAAATTTATTATATGACAATGACGATGAAGGACGAAGTTGTTGTTCCCCCTGGTCTAAGGGAACTATTACAAGAGTTGACTGTGTCTATACTGCGAGAACACCCTGATAATTTAATTCAGTTTGCTATTGATTTCCTAATGATGAAGAAGGCGGCATCAGAAAATCGTCAAAACAAAACAAATGAAAGTGAAGATGAAGATGAGGAACCTATGCCTATACCTCCACAACGAGCTACTCGAAGAGCTGGTGTAGCTGCGGAAAGTTATGATCCAGAAAAAGATGATACTTCAAATGTAGAGAAAGTTGTTCATCCTAAAACAGAAGAACAACGTCGACGATTAGCTCAAGCCACTAAAGATATTCTACTCTTCCGATGTCTTGATGATGATCAAATGAAAGATGTAATTGATGCCATGTACGAACGACATGTATCGCCTGGTGAAAAAGTAATTACACTTGGTGAAGATGGTGATAATTTTTATGTAATCGAAAGTGGAATTTATGATATCATTGTGAAAGTTGGTAATGAAGAGAAAACTGTTGGAAAATACGACAACAAAGGGTCTTTTGGTGAATTGGCACTGATGTACAATACACCACGAGCTGCAACCATTTTAGCTAAAACTGAAGGTGTAGTTTGGGTAATGACACGTGAAGTTTTTCGTTCAATTGTATTGAAAAAAGCATTTGAAAAACGTAGACTATACGAAGAACTGCTTAATCAAGTACCAATCCTAGAAAGTCTCAGTGCTTATGAACGCATGAGTATTGCAGATGCACTAAGAACAAAAATCTTCAAAGATAATCAACAAATTATCAGACAAGGTGATCCAGGTGATGAAATGTTCTTTGTTGAAGAAGGTAAAGTACGCATTAAAATGAAAAGAAGCGGAGAAACAGAAGAAAAAGAAGTGGCTGTTATTGAGAAAGGTGGTTATTTCGGTGAATTAGCATTATTGACAAGTCATCCACGTGCTGCTTCAGCATATGCTGATGGTCAAACTAAACTTGCTGTATTGGATGTTGGAAGTTTTGAACGTTTACTTGGTCCTTGTTTAGACATTCTCAGAAGGAACATTGATGATTATGAAGCAAAACTGAAAAATATTTTTGGTAGTTTAGATAAAGTACCAGAATTAAGACGTTGATTATCAATTTCTTCTGGTGATAAGCATCTTGATTTACATATGATCGTCGATTACTATGATAATAATAATTAACACTGTTATCATAATTATACTGTTCTTTGTGTTCAACATAATGATCCAACTTCTGTGGATATCCATATTCTTTGATTAGTGAATTGATTAAAAGAAGCTGATAGACAAAACGGTACAGATCATAGTGAGTACAGTATATATTTTGTTTAAAACAAAATGATGTACATATACGTATTTTTCTCTTTTTTTTGTTGTTGATTGTTTACCTAAATGGTAATATTGGGACCTACATGTTTCCATGTAATCCATTACTCGATTTTTTTTTAATTGTTTCAACTATTTTATTCCTTTCATTACGTAACTCGTAATTTTAGTCACTATTAGCATTATTACTATTATTATTGTTATTATTATGATTATTATGGATGTTACTTGTTCACTCATCATCATCATCATTATCATTCTTAATATACTGGTTGTATGTTGCACCAAAATTTACCATCATACAAGATTATGTGTAGATTGTATTAGTTTAACTCTATATCGAAGTAAGACAACAAAAATTGTATTTTGTTCTATTTTTTATTCATATGTATCCTTTTGGTGACCATTTACATTTTATTATTATTATGGTGATGGTTAATATTGCAAACTTTTGTCTGATTTTGTTTTCTTCACTATGATGAGCATAATGAAAATATGATTGTTACCATGCATAGACTCAGAAAAGAAAGTAACTGTACTTCATTTCTCATGTACCATATGACATATACAAATAGTAACTACGATTCAATATAGACATTTGAATGGAGACAAATTGTCATGTCAAAAATACTCTTGTATTACTTATCATATTATTCAACAGGCATGGACTTATGTTAGTCAGATAAATACATAACATATTCATCCTTCATTACCATTGACATCAGTATCATTCTGATCAATTGTGTTTGTGAGGAAAGTTATCAGTTTTGTCATTCTTTTTGAGTTCATTGTTCTCTTCCTCTCTGTTTGTTTGTTTGTTCTGCTGTTCTTCATGTATTTTTTTTATCTCATTAGTGTTCTCTTATTTTCTTTCGTTATTTCTTTACTAGATAATCAGTGGAAAAAGAAAGATATATCTTTCTTTATTTGTTTTTTTCATGTATACGTGCATATTGTTATTATACTGATTATCTGGGTAGTAAGGTTTTAAAATATACTTGTATAATTAATCATAGTGATTCATTAAACTTTTGAGTCCAATAATTCCAATCTCATTGTTATCGATTTTGAGTCACATATCTTAGATTCTTAGATTACTTCTAAATGATTAATTTCTGTATTCAAACAGAAGTAGATTGAGTGAAGTTTCGAATCTGTGATCGAATGAATAAAAGGTACTTCATACTCTATCAAACTGCATGTATTCATCACTTGATTGAGGTTTACAAAATTGTTTTTTCAAACTGCAGATAGTACTCAGTTCCCAAATACCCTGGTACGGCTGAGAGTGGGGAGAGTTCTCTCTCCCTCTCCAAATGCTCTCACATGGCCACGCGTATATAGCTTCTGTCAGGGAAGTCCTTCTCGTGACCCCAGTGTTGTTTACAAAATTGAAAGGAAGAAAAACGATTGTCCGACGCTTTATCCGGGTTGGTGGACATGGAAAGTCCACCTAGGGGAGTTGGAAAACCCTCATTCCAAACCGATGGTGCACATGGACTCCAGTATCCTGAGGGAACAAATGGCGTATGAATCAATCGTTAGTCACTGGCTACCATATGACTGCATCCCCTCACGATGCTCCACTGCCTTGTGGATCAGATCTTTAGGTGAAAGGCTCCAGGTGTGGCCCCCTAAGTAAACCACCTGCTTCGGTCTGGGCACCCGAGCAGTACCACAGCCCTGACACAAATTAAATGAGATTTGTGTGGCGCATATATATCTAGTGCTTTCTTGTACCAATATTTATGTGTTTAAATAAACAAATAACTCAGTTAAAAGAAAAAGCTAGGTAACTAATTGCTTCATCTAAGTTTGTTTCGGATTGTTCGTTAGAAAAGATCTAATATATACAATTCTTATTATATGTGAAAATTATATTCGAAATAATCTCAGTGGTTGAAATTTAAATAAATCATTCCAACGTTTCGTCCAGCTAACTTGTCTGTCAAGCTATTCGTTCTAATCTTGACGAATATTCGTATATACAGTTTTTATTTATTATTTAGTAATGTAGAGTAATGTATTAATTAATCGATACTTATAAATGAATTACACCTTTGCTAATATATATGCCTTTTGTACTACACTGTACATAACTCTGACTCAAACAGTTTTTAGATAAATTTTATAATCAGAAGAAATTTTGTGGAGATTTCAGTATTTTTCATTGTTGAAATCATGAGTCAATTAAAGCTAGACCATCATGGAAAACCTGGAAGCATTGGATGGCCGTTTCGTCCTATTATGGGACTCCTCAGCAGCACGCATCCACGTTTTCCATGGTGGTCTAGCTTTAATTGACTCATGATTTCAACAATGAAAAATACTGAAATCTCCACAAAACCACTTCTGATTATAATCATATGATCACTAGTGACTGACTTCAAGATACATGCCCCGGAGTTCTAGTGAGAAGCAGTGACCAGTGGAGTTCAACCAGGTCTGTTGTGAGATAACAACTCACTGAAGACAATTGATGAATGGTTGCTCAAACCTCGTGGATTGGTTGAAGTTAGACATTAACGTCGTTGAATGCCGGCTCAGTGGTCTATCGGTTAAGTGCTCTGGTGCGAGTACGTTAGGTCCTGAGTTCGAATCACTTGAGGCGGGATCGTGGATGAGCACTGGTGAGGAGTCCCATAATAGGACGAAACGGATGTCCAGTGCTTCCAGGTTTTCCATGGTGATCTAGCTTCAATTGACTCATGATTTCAACAATGATAAATTTTATAATTTAGTAACTAAGACTAGATTGTTGTCATGCTTATATGCATAGAAAGACAAATAATCACTTCTCGTGTAAATGCATTTGGGAAAATTCCTCTTGTCATTAATACCTATATATAGTTGTATTGAAATAGCATTTTATAACAAGGAATTTTTCTATATACTGAAGTAGGAACAGTTTGCTTCATATATTGAAATTTTCGATCATGAAGGTTACAAGCTCATGATCTAGTCACACTTGAGTCGATTTCATCAAATCGGGACTTGGTTTTCACAATGCTTATGTATTATTTGTAAATGTATCATACACATACAAATAAATGCATGTAGTTTATGAATGAACAATTTTTCAATAAGTTCCACTTATTTTCATTATGATTGTTAGTAACATCTATGGTGGGATGGATGAGTCAGTCAGTCATCTACAACGTAGGACCAGGCGCATGTATGCATCAGTCCAAGTTGTCATATCTCGTTAGCACGGCAAGATGAACACCGGATTCGTAGAAATAGTTAATTTAGTGGTGGTAGTATATAAAATATAGGTTGTATATAAGGATATAGTATAGGAAGGAAGAACGTTATGAAGTAATTTTAATCGTTTAATCGATTCTGTCGATCATCAAGTCTGTACTTAATTTATTTGGCTAAGGATATTTGAATTGTGATTCATAGAATTTCCAGTGTTGAAAGTAATCAATAACATCTTCAAATCCTTATCTTTCACATAATACTTATACTCTTACTACTTCTACCAATATG